TCTTTCCTTGAAGTGGACTTACCTGATTTTGGTATTAGTATTATACTGGGTTCATATGAGGAGTTTAGAAGTCCCCCCCTTCTATTTCCTGAAATAATTTGAGGAGCATGGACACTATTTATTCTCTAAATGTCCAGTAAAATTTAGCTGTGAGTGTATCTGGTCCTGGACTTTCTTTATTCAAAGTTTTTTCCTGCATCAACTTTATTGGTTTATTTAAGTGTTCTATATCCTCTTGGTTCCATTTCATTAGGTCTATATTTCTATATAGATTTAGATTTAGATTTAAAATCTTTTAGATTTTTGAATTTATTGAAATATATATTTTCAAAGTAGCCTCCAATGATGCCCTGGATTTCAGTGGTATCCTTTTTTTAAAATTTTTTATTTGTTGCTCAAAACATTACAATGATCTTGACATATCATACATTTGATTCAAATGGGTATGAATTCTTATTTTTCCACATGTACAGATTGCAGGATCATATTGGTTATACTCTACTTTTATTAATCTGGATTTTCTTACTCTTTCTTTTGGTTAATGTGCCTAAGAGTTTGTCAATTTGTTTCTCTTTTCAGAAAACTGACTTTGCTTAATTGATCTGTTGTATTCATCTTTTATTTCCCATTTCATTAATTTCAGCTCTGATCTTCATTATTTCTTTCCTTCTGCTAGTTTTGGAAATGGTGTGTTCATTCTTGTTTTCCTAACACCTTGAGATGCATCATTAGGATATTTATTTTGTATCTTGCTAATTTTTTAATATGTGCACTCATTGCTATAACTTTTCTCTTAGAACTGCTTTTACTGTGTCTCTGACACTTTGTTTACAGTATTTATATGTTGATATTTGTTCATAGGTCTGGATGGGCATCTCTTCCACTGTTATGAGGGTCTTTTCAATTACCTTTTTTTCTTTTAACTATGTGCTCTTAGTGTGGGTAGACTTCAGTGGTGAAAATCCTGTTCAATGTGATCACAATGTTCTGTTCAGTTCTTAACACCACATTGAGAGGAGATAATAATCATTAGTAACTGTGAGCATTTTTGAGCAAAACTATACACTCATAAATCATTTTAAAACTTACTGAAAATGTGCTTCACATTTCCTATATTCCAAATATGTAAGTGGGGAGTAATACTCTACAATAGGCTGAGAAATTAGGAATTAAAGAAAATAAAATGAATAATCTCTATAGGGCATAAATTTACAAAAAAGGAAGTAAAAAGACAAAATGGTTGTGGGAGAAACAGCAGATAATATAAAGAGAGGAAGAAATTTTAAAAAAGATTTTATAATAGACATAAGGAAAAAGATAGAAAGTATAAATCCAATTATCACATAAATATCAAAGGAAATTTATAAAATTGGATTAACACATGCATTAGCAAGTGACCTACAAAATGTACCTAGGAGATAATAACATTTGAGTTGATATTTAAGAGAGTCTTAAATTATTGCTTGCTGAGTTGAGATGGAGAGATCTCCTTTTGGGCCATCCAGACTTGGATCCTGTAAGATTATAGAAGGGTCATTAAATGCTCATGCCTCCATGGCTTGTCTTCAAAGTTTCTTTGGACATAGAGGTGTAACCCTACTAGTGATGTCCCTGTTGAGTTGGAGAGATGTATACTTAGTTTTTCCTCCAGGACCTCATTCTGCTCAATATAGGAGAATCTCTTCACTCTTTTGAGTGAGGGCCTGAGGAATTATTAGTTTTCTTTCCTTTTCTTTTTTTTTTTGGATCAGAGGAAATTTCTTCTAAATGTCTGTGGTTTTGCAGTCAGGTATCTCCCTGCTTAGTACTGCAGATTTGTGTACTCACCTATAGAAATACTTCATAGGACCAGAGATACCAAAACAGGTGTGAGTTTGCCCATGTAGATTTTGAGGTGTGAGAGACATGGCACCTTATGGCAGATGTACAGCCACTTGGTAGCCATGCTGTTGGGTGACCCATGACAGAGGCACTTGGACTTGGCTGCAGAACATTCAGTGGGCTTCTGGGTCACACATGATGGCAGATTACTGTAGGAGTGTCTGTGACAGTGGACCACTACTAGCTTCAGCTAGCAACGGGGACCCAGGTGGCTGCAGCCAATGGCTGGCACATGTGCTAGGTTATTCTCCACATGCTGCTCTCCCTGGCAGTGTCTTGCACTTTGTTCTGCTCCCCTCCTCTCCCATTGCCAATGATGAGGGAAGAGGATGGTCAACAGCCTTCAGCTAACCAGGATCCCACTACACAGGTTAATCAAATTGCCATATCAATGGCATTCCCTGCAATATTATTTTCTGGTATCTCTAGATGGGATGAAGTAAAGATAAATTTTCTTCCAGCACTGCAGACTGAGGCATGATCTCTACAAAATGGCAAGTCACCACAGTTTTCCACCCATAATTAGAGAGAAGCTGGGCACTTCTCACTCACCAAGTGGATTTGAAGCTTTTTTAAAAAATTTAAATCTTTTTTTTCTGTATTTTTTATTGGTGCATCATAGTTGGTGGGATTTTCTACATAATCACACACAATATAACAATATAATTTGTGTTGTATTTTTCCCCTGTAGTATTTCCCTCTTTCTTCCCCTCCTCCACCTCCCTGGTCCATTTTCCATTGCTGATCGCCCTTTAGTTATCTGAGATCTTTCCTACCTTTCTTTTCCTTTGTCCTTTGAGAGAAAGCATATAACTCTTGATTTTCTGATGCAATTTTATTTTTCTTTATGGCTGAACCAAATTCCACTGTGTACCTAGTCATTCATTGATGGATACCTAAGCTGGTTCCATAGTTTGGCTATGGTGTGTTGTAGTGTCATAAACCTGAGTATGCATTAATTGCTATAGTATGATGACTTTGATTCTTCAATATTAAAGTACAAGGAGTGATAACACTAAGGTGCTCTAAACAGTTGGCAAGGATGGATGGTCATTGTCTATAAACTAGTATCCTTTCCAACTGAGCGAGCGTGTGTGTGTGTGTGTGTGTGTGTGCGTGTGTGTGTGACAGAGAGAGAGAGAGAGAATAAATAACAGCTAGGGGTTGTTAACCTCTTTCTCTTTTTGTGTTGCTTGTTGCAGATCTACTAGTTGAAGTGGCCTTAAACTGAAACAGGTTGAAATAGCACTCAGCTTCCTTTCTCACCAGTAAAAGGTAGGAATCACAGAATGTCAATCACCATGTACACTACCAATATTATAAAAGTAATAATAAAAAAGCTGTTTTGAAGATTTTGATGAAATTTGGCAATTTAAAAAACTATTCTCTGAGAAATGCAGCTTACTAACTTGATCAAGAATAAACTAAAATGCAAAGGTATCCCTCTATTTACTAAGAAAATTAAATTTGTAATTAAAGTGTCTTCTATAAAGAAAGCTTCAAGTTTAAATGACTGCACTAGTGAATTCTAAAAAATGCAAAGATTTTCAAACAAACATTTAAGCTTCAATACAATTTCAAGCCCAAATAAATAGTAAGATACAATAAACAGAAGTCAATGAAATATAAAATAACTAATAGAGAAAAAAGTCAAAGTTATAAGGTAGCACTTCAAAAATATTAATGATATTCATAAAATTCTAGTAGACTTATCAGTAAAGAAGAGAAACAGAGCAAGTAGCCAGAAGTAATGCTGCACATCTGTAATTTTAGATGCACTTAATGCACTAACCATAAAATTAAAAGACGGATAAATTAGACTTGATAACATATAATAACTAGTGCACTTCAAAATATACTTAAATGTTAAAATATTTAACACCAATGAATTGTACACTTGAAAATGGTTGCTTTAAAAATGAACACAAAAGTTTCAAACTGGAACAAATATTTGCATTATATACATCTGACAAAAGATTTTTATTTAGAACAAAAAATGTAAAAACACAACTCAATGAAAATGGGCAGCAGTGTTGTACAGAAAATTCACAAAAGATATATAGTTATTAAACACATGAAAAGATATATATGCATATGTATATATATTGGCGGTAAAGGAATGGCACCTTTACCTTGTGTGTTAGACAACTGTGTCAGAAAAGGGAAGGATTTGACTTTGATATTGTCCTTATTTGGAATTAACTGTAGTTTAAATAGGCTGAATGGAGACCAAGATGAAAATGGATAGATTGTGAAGGTTTGAAAGTGTCCATTTGGATCAAACTTATTTCCCAGATTTCCTTCCCCATGTTTCTGGTTAGGTTGGCTTTAAGATTTGGTGATAAGAAAACAGTAGCAGTCATATTGTTTGTAGGCTTTGCAGGTTTGTTAATGGCTGCTGTGTGGCTTTCTTGTTGGCTACATCTTTGGCATGAGCCAGCACTAAACTTCCAACTGCTCTACCTACCCTTTATCTCCTCTTCAACTTCTCTGACTGCTGGACACAGTGTGCTTAACTCCCTGATGATGAGAGCCAGCTTCTGCAGAACACTAATATCATCAAGCTCACAGGTACTGAAAGAGATTGATAGGGGTTCTAGTTGGTTCTTATAGGTTTCTTGGTTCTAGCTTTTCTTGTAGACTTCAGTATTAGCCTGAGATCAACAGAAAAAAGCTTTACACAGACTAAGTAGAACTTATGATTATGATAAGGTCACACACACACACCAGCAAGAACAAGTTAAAATATTCATTTTGGTTTTTGAAGCCACTTGATTTCTGTTACAACTATTTGTCTCTGCTGTTGTTATGTGAAAGCAACCACAGATAACACATCAATAAATGGCATATCCCTCTCTCTCTCTCTCTCTCTCTCTCTCTCTCTCTCTCTCTCTCTGTCTCTCCATGCATCTATATCAATGTTGATTTTGGACTCTATACAATCATCTATGTATCTTCCAGAGGTACTACTTATTTAAAGGATCCCCTGAAGATGCAGAATCGCTACATTAGGAGAATGTTGGACTCTCCATAGTTTCCTGAGGAAGACTTTCTCCACTTTTCTCCACCTTAGGTATGTCCTGAAAGGCCTTCTCTAGAACTATCTTGAGCGATAGTTGCTACCTCTGATGGTGTTGTCCCCTCCTACATGAGCCAATAAACAAGTAAATGATGGGATTGGCGCTGCTGTTAATACTAGACAGAAATAAAGTAATGTTATTTAAAAAATGCAGACTCATATGGTTTTTATCAATCCATAACAACAGAAAATCCATGATGCCTATAGGCAGGCCACAGAAGAGGAAGACCAGAACTGTGAGCCCAATAGTCACATACAGCCTGGTCAGCGGCACCCTCCGAGAGCCACAGATGACTTTGATGAGCAGGGTGAGGCTAGATATAGAGAGAACCATAAATAAAATTATCAGCCATGCAGCTATGATGAAACTAAATGTCTGACACCAATAGTTGAAATTTATAGATAGGAAGGAACAGTGGTACACATCCAGGATGCTCAGTAGCAGGGACAGGGCCCAGAGTAGGGCACATATGACATCTGACATGTGTCTTGGGCGGTGGCAGCGGTACCAGATGGGACACAGGATGGATAGGCAGCGCTCAGCACTAATGGCACTCAACATGCTCAGGCCTGTAACTAGGAACAGGTCACTACAATGGGTAAGTACCCGAGGATGAAGGCGAAAAAGGAAAGGAAAGTGGGGCTGAGTTCATTCAGAGAAATTATAACAGGAAAAAAGAGAAAAAGGAAGTCGGCTCCTGCCATGTTGAGGATGTAGACTGAGAAGGCGTTCTTATGCATGTGGAAGCCCAGAAGCCAGAGCACAACTTGCATTTTCTACAAGCCCAATCAGGGCAATGATGAAGGTTAGCAAGCTCCGGATCAAGATCCAAAAGTTGACAGGTTGAGGAAAAGTCCAGTTACTTTCGTTCACCACTGTGAATTCTGTCTGCTCGGCTGGGGTGGTTGGACTTATGCTCAGAACTCCTCCACTGGAGCTGCTAAGAACAAAAAGAAAGTCATGAGTTCCTGCTGCATAACCTCTGAGTCCCAGGACTACCCTGCTGTGTGTCACAGGGGAGGACACAGATGCTTGTAAAAATTATTTTAAAAAGCCGAGGGGGTCTGGGGTCCTGGACTCAAACCAAGTTCATGTGACTGTAAATGCTGTGCCGGCTGCTACTGCACAGGTTCATCTACTGACAGGAATATTCTATGGTCCAATCATGCACATGGACCCCCTCCTGTTCCTGCCAGAGGTTATGCCATGTCTCCAGAATTTCTTGAGGAAGGAAAATTCTGGGATAGGATCTGAGATAGCAGGAAAGGACTGTGGTCAAAGGCATTAGCCTGTCCTGGGCCAGAATTTTTCCCTCAGGTTCAGATTAAAGAGGCAAAGTTGATCTCAGATCACACTCTTGACTAAAAGTGCTGTATGTGGAGATAAAAAGGTTGCTTTGGGATTGTAAAAAGAATGTGACATCTTGATTAGGCATGTGTGAGGATGGTTGGGACTGGTAGGCTATTAATGGCTAAGTGTGTCATAGAAATGGCTCAGTGTGTCAGCCACGGAGAACAGCCACACTATGCATATTCCCTTGTCTAGATTTGGTGTTACACACTGTATTCCTAATGGTTATTCAGGGAATAGTTTTTTAAAAAAACTATTTAAATAAGGAGACTAATGGTAGCATGAATAAGGAGACTAATGGTAGCAGAAGACTTGGGTTAAATGGAAAAATAAAATGAATACAATTAAAGAAATTAAAACATTCATGTAAAATTAGATGAAGAAAACTTCATCTATCATTATTGTTTTTGTGGATAACTTAGAGCATTTAGAAGATTTACTTATGTTTATCCAAATAACTGAAGTGGACCACTGGCCATGAAAGCAAGGAACAAAAATGGTTTGGGGCTGGGGCTATAACTCATTTGGCAGAGTGCTTGCCTCTGGGTTTAAACCCCAGCAACACACACGCACACACACACACACACACACACACACACGCACGCACACAAAATGGCTTGCTGAGTACTTTGTAACCTTTTGGTGCAGAGTATGGGGTTAGGATGTGAGTTTGAGTTGAGTTGCCCAGCAATTTATAGGACAGAATAATAAAAGGGGATAAAGTCTGAGTGCTAATAAAAGAGTTTATTTTGTTGTTCATTTGTTTATTAATTTTTTAAAAGATATTGATGGACCTTTTTATATTCATTTATTTATACGTGGTGCTGAGAATACAATCTAGTGCCTCACATATGCTAGGCATGGGCTCTACCACCAAACCACAACTTCAGCCCCTAGTAAAAGGTTTTTGAAGTATGAAAATATCTAAAGAAAAGCTATTAAGTGATGTGCTATAAAGTATATAATATAAATCTTTTCCATTTTCTCTCCCAATAGAGTTTGCTTTGCAGGTAGAAGGTTTGTGTGAGGTTAGTCTATGAGGAGAAGAAAAAGGTTGGAATGGAAAGAGATGCTTGCATATATTTTAAATAGAGAAATTAAACTAGCTCACACCTGGGTAAATAATAATAGATGATGGAGAGTTTATAAGCTAGCGAGTTAAC